CTATTGTCAACTTGGTTCCTCATTCGTCACATTTAACTCAGATGCTTGATGTTGGAGTGTTTGGAAGGATGAAAAGAAGAATAGTACAACAACGCGCAATGAATGGAAGAATTGAAGCATTGTTTTTGCAAGAAAAAAATAATGTGAAAGAACAAGTTTGTTAAGTGTCGAAATTTTGTATTGTGAAGTAACACTTAGATAGCTGGGAAGTCAGTTTTTGAATACCATATTGACGAAAAATACAAGAAAAAGATTAAAGATGCCTTTTTTCTAATCGATTCGTATTTTGCATCTGCTACTTATTGCTACAATGTATTGGCTTTTAATCTATGTGGAATTGAATCATTTTGGTGTAATGATTATTCAACTTGTCGTGTCAATCCTTTAAAGTGTCATGGAATCACTGAAAATCCATCATTTGTTGAAATCTTTCAATCTTTCGTTGTTGAACCATTCCCATTGAGAAAGGAAAAGAGAAAGACCATTTTAACACCAAAACAATTGGAGTTGAAGAAGAGCAGAAATGAAATGAAACAAATAGAAAAACAAAGGAAAAAACCTTTAACAAAACAAGTTTCAGACAAACCACAAAAAGTGCTGCGTTTTAGACTTTTACGTTTCTCTAAGTGAACAAATTGAAGCGTTTTTGTTTATTTTTGAAATAGAAATTTATAATTATTCAATTTATAATCATTTAAAATTAAAAAACTATAATTTAAATTAATATTTTAATTTTATGTTTATTTTGACCTTTAAATAGATTTATTAAAAATTATAGTTTCGAAATTATATTTTTCAAAATTAACTACCTTTGTCCCTTTTTAATGCTATTTATCCCCCGACTATAACTATACATTATATATAGTATAGTTAATAGAATTTAATAAGAGAAAATGAATTATCCCAATGCGGTGTATTCCGACCTCTGAGTCTTCTTTCTGTAGATGACAAAGCCAACAATTCCACACACTCCAACAATGATAATAAGCAAAAATATTCCTGAGCACACCCCAATGATGATCCATTCCGTAGTCTTGTCTTTCTCTTCACTACTTGATATTGAAGTAGTCGACGACTCCACTGGTGTAGTTGAAGAAGGAGATGGCATCTCTGAACTTTGTTCATTCGAACTTGACGGTTCAACGCCCGCGCAAACATCTACAACACACTCTTGATTGTAAAAGTCCCATTTGAACCCATCGTCACAATACCCAGCAGCACATACGGTACTCCACAACCCATCATCCCCACACACATACCCACCGTGTGCATGTGCAATAGTGATTGCACTGTCACACGCCGAATCGTATTTAAGAAGGCGTTTATTCTTCGGGTTACACTGCGTCTTGTACTTCGTATAAATCCTCAAAGTCTCATCCGCAAATTGCCCAAGTTTGTTCTCTCCAAATCGGAAGATGTCGGTTCTCTCGTCGACTACATTCATAATAAACTCTCGCGGCGTCGTCTCCGTAAATTTGAAGTTCCATCGGAACGTCTCCAAAAAGGAAATTCTCATTAATCCACCAAGACTCTTCAATGGATCCGTCACTTCCGGCATTTGAGTATCATCTTGTGTCACAACAGCAGTCGGCGAATTACCGGCATCAAACTCTTCAATGGTTCCTTCAGGGTCTCCTTCAAATCCAACTACAATAGCATTCCCTCTATCTGCCATACCCTTAGCAAAGACTGAGCATGCTCTTGACATTAATATGCATTCTAATAACAATTTATAATATATTTTACTATAATATTCTAATAATATTTTATAGTAATAATTTATAATATACTTTATTACAACATCATAATATTATATTATAGTAGAGAATAATAATATATTTTACTATAATAGTCTAATAATAATTTATAGTAATAATTTATAATATATTTTACTATAATGTCATCTAGAACAAAATATAGTAAATAAATAGAATAATTTTACTATAAATAACAAACGAATAACAGAAGCCATCAGTGAAGACAACGAAGTCGGTGGGCTTTCGTGGGTGGTTAACTAATTTTTCTTTGATCATATCGACGTGGGACACGAAACTCTCTTGTGAATGTGTGTGTTCGACATCGCCGTATTTCACCGTTTTAGCATTGGTATACCACTCACCAAGTGGCTGATCACTTCCGGTGACATTATACCGCATCTCACAGGTTTCTGTGTCGTCCATGATCATCCCATATGAGCTTTTAATAACACCGACACTCCCATCACTGATTCTGACAGCTCCGATCATAGAAGAGTCTCCTTGTGGTGCGAAGACGTCTTCAAGTGACGCGACGAGATCTCCGAGACCGCCACCGTTCATCGGTAAAATGAGAGAAATTGGATATTCGTTTGTGTCAAATTGTTTAATGCACGTGTTGAGTGTTTTAAAGAAGCTTGGGACAAAGTCTTCTGGGTAAAAAGTCTTCAACACCATAATATTGACCTTCTGTGTTTCAAACGTTTTACACGCCAAATTGGCGTCTTTTGATTCATAGTCGTACGAATTGTCTTCCTTCAAGTTACTTTCAACGAAGTCCTCTGCTCTTAAAATATTGACTCCGTGCTTTTCCATCAATTTATCCTTCAGTCGTTCAATTCTCTCTGAAGTGATATTCTTTGTCGCTATAGGGACATATGCGATCATATATTCCGTTGAAGCTTCATTTCCTGAGGTGTAGACTATCTTAATCTTTTCATCTAATGCTTCTTTAGTCATCAAAGTCCTTTGTAAAGACATATAGTTCATCGACTCTACGGCATATGTAAATCGCCCGTGTGGTGTTTTTAAGAAGGTCTGTTCCTCTGCAAACTTTCTGATCCATTGAAGTGGCTCTAATCCATTAATAGACTGTACAGGGACATTCACATTGTCGGTGATCCCTTCAGGAACACTCAAGCCAAACTTCTCAACGACATCATTCGGGTAGACAATCACCTCGTCGCCATTGACAATATCAAGAATGAATGGGAGGACCGCGTACATCTCGTCGTAGTAGTACAAATTGTTCTCGTCGGAAGTCAATCTGAATGAGAGGTGGTAGTCGGATGCCTCATTCACTATAGCCTGTACACTTTGCATGAACTTATACACTGATTGTTCATCAATAGGCAATTCCTTAAGTCTCTGGTCAATATCAATCGTTCGATAAAAACTCGAATTAAACGCCGGCTGAGGGGGGTTCTTCAAAATGTCTTTGAACGCGTATGTCTCAAAGAGTTTCTGTAATCCCGTTTGAATTGTAGTTGTCCACGTCGAGTCACGGGTAATCGACTCAATGCACTCAAACGCATCCGTGACGGTGTACGCTTTCCCGTCTTCAAGTTGGTCACATGGTGTTCCAGAAACCAAGACGGCGGTCAAGAGCAAGAGCAGTTGCATAGATTTGAAGTTCATAATGAGTTCTATGCTTATTGTTTATTTGGAAACAAGTCAATTTCATATGGTTTGTTTTAACTATTTGTTTAATTATTGTTTTAATTAATAGAACAAGCACATGATTACAAGTAAAAGTTGTTTGGGTTTCGATTTTCGTCGGATTTTGATGTTCGATTGGAAAAGTTGTGATTTAATGATTAGTTTATTATATCTATAATTATATCTATCTAGTTAAATTAAGATTTTTAATTGTTGGATATAAAAATAAAACTTAACCAAAAAGACTAATTGTTATTAATATAACAATCATAATTTTATCTATTGTATTATCATAGTTAATTATATTATATTTTCATATTCCAATAAGTTTCAAAATTAAAAATACAAATTAAAAAAATGTAATTAACGAGCAAAAATTTTAATAATACAAACTATTTTTTTTTCCAAAATAAAATTAACGAGTTAATTTTAATTTTTGTTTTGAAAACAATATTTATAATTATATTAAAACGTTAATTTTAATCATGAGTCAAAATTAGTTCTTTTTATTATTTTGAAATATAATAAATATCATTTAAACTGACGAAAAAATTTCTAACATTATAAATAACAAAAGTTGAAAATAAGAATTAAACACAGAACTGTAAAATTCTTGTCAGAAATGTCTGTGAAAAAGCCCCGCTTTGCTGTTTTAATGGATGACTGTGAAAATGGTCAAAAAGGAAATCTGTCGTTTGTGTCTTACTTTTTGAAAGATGAATACGACACAACACTCTCCGACTGGAACGGTACTTTTTTCTTTAAAAACGGAAACTCTCTTGGGATCTCTGTCCACTGTCCCGAGAAATACCCTGACGAAGTGCCAACAATCGTCTTTTCGGCCTTCCCTCGTACTACAAATAAAATCCAAGTCAATAACAATGTCGTTTGTTTTTCATGTTTTTCACAACTTCGTCACAGTAGTAATACATAGCTCCTCCCCACCTCAGAAGTGTGCCGCGATTGGTTACAAATCGATCACAACAAAAGAAACTTAGACGCTCTCTTCCAGCTCATTTACGCCAATTTCAAGTGATTCCTTTCTTCAATATTATTCTCCCACTTTATATTAACACCTTGATAAAAAAGAAAATCACTCCAATTATTCTTCGTCTTCATCCGAATTACTCATGTATTCTATTTCATCATCATCAACGACAAATCCATCATCTTCGTCTTCTAAATCAATTTTCTTCGCTTTTGTTGCTCGCTTTCTTGTTTTCTTTGGAGCAACGTCCTCAGTGCCACTCTCTTCTTTCACTTCTTTTTTCACTCTTGACCTTTTGGTCTTCTCCTTCGTCTCACTCGTATCTTTCGACTCAGACTTTTCCTTTTTAACTCTTGGCTTTTTCTCTTCAGTGGTCTGGCTTGTGCTTGCGCTTGTGTCGTCGTCTTTCTTTTTCTTTGTAGCCGTCTTCTTTGTGATTGCAGTTCGTTTAATCACCATGTCATCGGATGGAACAGTTTTCCACTCATAGAACTGCGCATTCTCTCCAAACTTCCTCGCAAGTTCTTCGGCACTCATACTGAGTAACTCATTTCTCGCCTCATTTTTAGTCTTCCTCGTTTTCTTTGTACTTTTTCCTTTCTTGCCAGCAATAGTTCTTTTGGTCCCTTCGTCTCCAACTTTCAAAAGGATTTCTTCCTCTTTCAGCCACTCCGGGTACTTCTTCTCAAACGATGCCAACTCTTTCAACCACATGTCCTTAACGGTCGTTGTCTTCACTTCGTCTATTTGCGTCTTCAAATCGTCGCAGTCTTCCATCAACTTCTTGGCTCTTTCATATGTCAATGTCCAGATTTTCATCGAAAGTAAGTAGTCGTATCCACCAGCCTCTTCTTCTTCCTCTTCCTTCACCTTGATGACACTTTCTTCTTCAACTCCTCCAATTGGCTTCGACTTCTCGAGCTTCTTTGGGTCTTTGATCTGGTCAAATCCAAGTGAGATCAACTCTTTGTACAAATCGTTCTTCTTCCTGTTGTTCACAATGAGCTTGCCTTCTATCACCATTTTGATAAATCGCACTTTGTTCGACAAAATAAGCATCTGATGTTCCATCGAGTCAATGATTGCCTTTTTCCTCGCTTCGTAAGTCTTTAATCGGACCTCGCAAAACTCTCTCATGATGTCCAAAGGCGTGTGGTACTTCTGGATCTTCATTTCCGAATTGAACAAGTGCATGTTCGCGTCTTTGATAGACGACGCCAATTTGAAGTTGTTCCACACCTGCTCGTCGGTCATCTCAACAGCCAAATCAATGACAAAATGTACAGTGTTGATCAAATGGTGTTCCTGGAATCCTTTCACAGTCTTCGCCTCAATCATCTTCTCAAGGTGGACTTTGTAATTCTCCGTCCAGATGTGCATGGGCAACTCTCGAATTTCAATTCGGTTGTTCCCAACTCTTCTCCACCGTCCGTAACACATGAAGCCAGTTCCTTCTTTGTTCTCCTTCAACTCACCAGTCCACCCTCTGTACCACGGCTTCATTGGTTGAAGCTCTTCGCCATTCAGATACCTTTTACAGTTATCCACCAAGTCAAGTGGATTGAAATTGGGAATATCGGTAGACCATCCCGTTCCAATACCTTCAGCTCCATTCACAAGAACCATTGGTATGATTGGGACGTAATACTTGGGTTCAATCTTCCTGTCTTCATCAATCAAGAAGTCGAGCACCTGGTCATCCTCCTTAATGCACAGCGACCTTGTAATAGTCGACAACCGCGTGTAGATATATCTTGCCGCAGCCTGATCCTTTCCTCCTTGAAGCCTTGATCCAAACTGTCCAGATGGAAGGAGCAAATTAATGTTATTTGCCCCACAGAAGTTTTGGGCCATATTGACAATGGTCGATTGCAACGATACTTCTCCGTGGTGGTACGACGACTTCTCCGACACCAAACCACTGAGTTGTGACACCTTGAGCTCTCTGATGACGTTTTTGATCAAACAAGTCCACAACACCTTCCGTTGCGATGGCTTCAATCCATCGACCACACATGGAATTGATCTCTCACAATCGTCGTATGAAAACAGAATGAGTTCCTTGTGCACAAAGTCCTGATATGAGACGGACTCAACGTCTTGGTCCAAATATGTATTGGGGTCATACCCCTTCAACCACTCCTTTCTGTCGTCCGCTCTCTTCTTGCTGAACGCCAAGTCGATAACTTGGTCACTTGGTTCTCCGTTATAGTCGAAACGGATTTTGTGCGTGTCCAAATCCCCAAAGTACACTTTGGCGTCCGAGTCTTTTGATGTTCCAAGTCCCTTGTAGTACTTAATTTCCCACTTCTTCAGTTCTCCTTCGTGGATCTTTTCTTCTTTCCACTCGTTGAACTGTGGCACTGTAAAGAACGAGATTTCCTCCTTCCCTTTCTTCACTTTGACAATGGGAGTGATGAATTCAACCAAGAAATTTTTGATCTTCAACAGTGATGGCCAAAACACGTTAAAATAGTTGATCAAAAGTCCTTTGATATGCGACCCATCATAATCCTGATCTGCCATAATCATGACACACCCATATCTCAACTCGTTCAAATCAGTGTATTTCTTTCCATATCGCAATCCCATGATTTTGGCAATGTTCTCAAACTCCTGATTGTTCTTCACTTTAGCACTACTGATTTCTCTCGCATTCAGAGGTTTTCCTCTCAACGGGAAGACACCATAATAATCTCTCCCAACTACAGACAACCCGGAAACCGCCAACGTCTTCGCAGAATCTCCTTCCGTCAATATCAACGTGCACAGTTTCCCGTCCTTCGTCCCCGCCTTATTTGCGTCGTCCAATTTTGGTATTCCCGTGATTCTCGCCGTCTTCCTCCCGCCGCTTTTTGACAGATCTTGTTCGCCTTTCTTAATCGCCCAATTTAGAATATCGTCCATAACACTCAATTTCGACAGCTTTGTGAAGAACTTATCGGACAGCACTGGTTTTGATCCAAATTTGCTCGATTGTGTCTTCAGCGTCTCTTTTGTTTGTGAGTCGAATGCCGGGTTTTCAATAAGACACCTCACAAAGACAAACAAATGGTTCTTGACTTGGAACGGCTTAATCTCCGCTCCTTTCTTGTTCTTCTTCGCCAATTTGTCCATCAAGTTCTTGCAGATTTGGTTCAACACAATATCGACGTGCGTTCCACCCTTCGACGTGAAGATCGAGTTGACAAACGACACTTGTTGAGCTTCCCCTTGTGACGCGCACACACAGACTTCCCATCTGTCACCCGCTTGTTCAGACACTATCGACTCCTTTCCAACATACATCTTTGCGTAGTCTTCAAACCTCTTGAAGCACACTTTGACCTTATTAATATACACCTTCTTCCCAGGATTACACCCCGCTATATCATACGCACGACGGATGAGAAGTGCTTTTGTGTCCTCTTCCATTCCTTTCATCTGGAACCGTGCGTAGTCGGGAGTAAACGTGACTTTGGTGTACTCCTCGCAATGCTTTTCAGTGATGATCGCCTCCTCTTTGTTGTCCATGTTCTTGGTCCACCTCTGTTTATATACTTTCGTTCCGTCAGACGTCTCAATCTCAAACGAATTGGAGAAGATGTTCGCTAACTTAGCTCCATACCCGTTCCGCCCACCTGTCACTTTCTTGTCATCATCTCGATAATTCGATGACGTCAGCAAATGACCAAAAATCAATTCGGGGATATACATTTTCTCTTTTTTGTGAATCTCAATCGGAATCCCTTTCCCATTGTTGTAGACACTGATGACGTCACCAACGATATTGACTTTTATCGTGTCCATATTTGTGTCCCTTTGAAAGTTGTCAGACGCGTTGACTAAAATCTCGTCGAAGATCTTGAAAAGACCTGGGGTATATGAGATCGGCTTCTTGACCATTTCACCGCCGTCTTCCCCGTCAGAGAAAACCCAGACGCTTTCGTCGTTCTTCTCAACAGAGCCAATGTACGTGTCCGGACGTGTTAGGATTTGCTCTTTGTGTGACAGTTTCACGTAGACATCTTCAAGCTCGACCTTCTTTTTCGACATTGTTTGATTATTTGAGTGAACGAACTTTTATAAGGAAGAGGAAAAAATGAGAAAAAATAACGTTTTGAAGGAAAAAAGCGATCAATTTGTGATTTTTTTGTTTTTTTATTATATATTATAATTGTTTTTATTATTGTTATATAGTAAAATACGTCTTTTGTTCATTTTTTTGAAAAAAAAGGGTTTAAATAGTTTGGAAAAGTGTAATTTTATTTACTATTATTTTAAAATTTGTTTTCAAACATGGTAACTGTTATTTGTTATTATGATATATTTATTAATTTTGAATAGAAATTATTATTTCGATTTTCAAACCTCAATTCATCATTTTTTTGAGTTCAATGTTTAAAAAATTGTTTTATTTGTTATAATTAAATGATCATTATTATTCAATCAATAGTTTCGATCACAATTTAGTAATTTTTTAGTTTTCAAATAGTTTGAAAAAAATGAGATGTTTTGTGAATACATTTTGAGAAGTGTTGGAATGAAAGTTTGTATAAGCGGAGACAATCGAGTTAATTTGTGTTGAAAAATAAAAATGTCAACGCGGCTTGAAAAGGTGTATCTAATGAACGTGCTGCTTTACGTTGACAGCGTTACTACAATGAAATTGTTTATCCAAGTGTCTACCAGGTGTTGGGAGACTTCGCAGATGTTGAGGATCAATCCCTTTAAAATTTCTTTCAAAACTGTATGTCAGAACCCAACTCTCTTCCCTCACTTAGAAACAATTTATGAGCTGAAAGACAATGACGAAATGGAAGAATTTAAAAAGCATTGGATTGACAAAATCGCGTTCATCCGCAACATTCAGTCATACGTTGTGTACTTTTTCTTTCCACAACCCCTTTCGACTACACAAATCAAATTCTTTGAAAAGATTGAGGAATACTCTGCTGTTCGTTTGACCGCTCATTACCTCGACGACTTGGTTAACACTATCAGATACTTTACAGGTCTAAAGACACTGAAAATTGGGTTTGCGTCTGGGTTTAACTTCCGTCTATTGAATACACTGCCGTCGCTCGAGAGAGTGTACATCATATTCCAGTACACATGTCATGAAGACGTGATTAAGGCTTTTGAAAGAGTTGACATTACGCGAGTAAAGTATGTATTTATTGTGAACTCTGTCGTGTCCCCGCAAATTTTGGCCAGAACATTTTCGGATATAAAAAGGCGTTATCAGGAGATTTCACTCTATGCAACACTCCTTGAAAAATCAATTAAGAACAATTTTTATTTCACAACGCTCTGTAACGTCGACCCTAGCTACTTCCAGGAGGATGCAACAGAAATTGATATACAAAATTTCCTCCCCATAGAAATGAAAATTTGTTCAAAAGAGCCACAGAACCTCTCGGTGGTGGATGTTGGAAAATGCGAATTTTTGAAGGCTCTCACGATTATGTTTAACAATGAACGTCCATTTGCGGTATTACTTCCTTCGGGACTAAAAACACTGAGTGTGGAAGGAACACAAGCAATGTTCAGTTTGAACAACGTCCCGGTTGAGTTTCTTAATTTGACACGAATGCACAATCAATGGGACTTTTCGTTCTCTTCTCTTGTTTCACTTTCTTTGTACCAGTGCCAGCACCTCAATATGGACTTGACACATTGTGACAAATTGGAAAAGGTTGGTGTGTGTTGTTGCGCAGATTTGGAGCTCAAAGTACCTACACGTGTCAAATTGTGTGGGATGTATTTCTCGACGAGGCTCAAAGTTTTTATCAAAGAAAACGAGAGCACGTTCTGCGACCTTTCACTTCAAGACGTCATCCACTTTTGGCTTTCAAGATCAATGAAAATGGTTGTTGAGGTGAAGGCCGATTTATTCGACTTAACGCAATTTCGGCTGAAAATGATCAGTTTGTATGACTGTTCAGTGAAGAGATTAATTCTACCCAAGACAATTTTGTTTGTCAGGTTGGTGAACTGTTTGGTTGAAAAAGTTCTCGGCGGGGTAATAAGAAAAATTACAGTCCAATCCAAAAGCATCATTTCAGACATCGAAGCAAACTACATTGGAAAAGTTCACTTGGGGGCGGATGTAGAGTTGTGGAATGTTGGCGAAATAAACGTCGTGTCGTACCGTCGGAGCACAGTTCGTCCTCACTTAAAATGTCGGCGTATTGTTCTCAAGTCGAAGGAACGTTTCGTGGATTTATCAATGTGTACAGCTGATCGGCTCTCTGTTTCGTCGAAAACGAAAACAGATGTGGTGCTTATTAACCACTCGTTTTCTTCCGTCTTTTTGAACAACGTCCAGTTGATGATCCTTGGACAGTCAGAAAAAGTTTTCAACAGAAAAGCGCTGATTTCCAAAGAACTTGGAAAGAAAAACGCAGAGATATCTGAAACTCTTTCGTCGGATGTTTTTAGAGCTTCAAATAAAAATGTTGAGGTTTTAGACTTGAGCCATACCACGATTAAAAAGGTCATTGTGAGAAATTGCAAACACCTCCACGAATTAATACTCCCTCATACATGTACAAAGACGCATGTTCAACATTGTAACGAGTTGCAGCACGTTCGCGCAATATAACTAATTGTTTATATTTTGTTCGAGCACTTGTTTATAAGTATTACACAAATCAAGCACAATATCATTTTGTTGATAATCCCCAAACTTCATATTAGACAACTTTGAAAATAGTTACTTATTTTATTATTGAATTATTGTTTGATTATTAAATTAAAATATTAAACAAAAGTTAGAAATAATTGCGAATTACAACTCTATCAAAAACAAAATCTATGCTATTTATTGTAGATTGAACACTAAATCAATCAATAATTAATTATTAAAGAGGAACAACAGGTATTGTTTTGTAGTGGTTGAGTATTTTGGACGGAAGTGTCAATTGTGCTTCTGGTGATTTTCTTTTTCTTTGTTCCAAGCAAAACGTGTTGTTACAATTTGGGCAGTACAAACTATTTTGCAACAATTCACATTTGATAGCAAGTGCACAATGTGGGCAAAACCCCAAACAAATTCTCCTTTCCAATGTACTGTATTGCATCATTAAATACTTGAAAAAATTCGCTTGAGAATCGAAGAGGTTGTGATTCAATAAATCAACAAAAGAAATCGCACAACAACACTGAGCCGTAGGACATACGATTTGGGGAGTCCTCCACATTTGCTCAACAGAAGCAACAACGTGTTTTCTCAGACAATCAATACAAAACGGTGTTTTGCTCGACGAACAACATATTGGAAATTGGGTTTGTTCAAAACAAATTGCACAAGTACACGTCGTAACACATTTTTCGAAATGACGGGGTACCTTCAAAATATCAAGTAAAAATAAAGAAAGAACTTCTTCAGTGCAATTAAATTTCGAACGGTCAAATACAAATTGTGTTGTTAAGAGAAGTCGTGTAAATTGTTGCATTAGAATTCTTTTATTGTTCTTTTTTTTTACCTCTTTCACTTTTTAAATAATTTAGTTCGTAAATTATGTTTTATTGATATTGAATATAAATTTTTATTAAATATAATAAATATATAAACTTCTTTAATTTAATATTAAATTAATAGAAATTAGTTAATAATCTTATTTGTTGTTTTATATTATTTTTTTAATTAAATTATAATTTTAATTATAGATCAATTAATATAATCAAAATATATATGATATTTATTATAATATATCATGTATTAAACAAATTATATTATTTATATTACATTAAATTTAATTCATAATAGTTTTGCATATGGAATAAGTTATTTAATTTATAATAATATAATTATAGTAAACAATTAATAATTATCATTATTATAATTAATAATATTATTATAATTTTAATATAATAATTCTTTTTAACTTATAAGTTAATAAAATTTTAATCAAAAATAATAAGAAATATTAATAATTAAATAATGATAAAACCAAATAATAATAATTTGATTACTTTAATATAAACTAGTTAACAGTTTAGAGTTTGGAACTCAAAACGGTATGGAAGACGCAGTGATAATTGAGGCGTATCCTTATCAGAAATATTCGTACGATACGGACGTGAACCGATGGACTTCAAAACGACTTGTCACGGAAATTTTGAAGAAAGGTCAACGTTCTTTAGCCTTTCGACTCTCCCATCAAAAGATAACTGGGCGTCAATTTCTTCAATTAGGTCTCAAAGATCGTGAAGATCTTCGCTTGACCCCAACACTTTCAAACACTTTATTTAATGAAGTTGATGCTTATAAGAAAATTAGTTCAATCAATGTTATTCAAAGAGCAATTAGAAATTATCAAATTATGCCGAAAAAGAATGAACATGAATATAGAGGAACTGTTGTAGCTGAAATTTTGACGACTGAACGGTTTGTTTTAGTCTTAGTATTAATATGAGGTTCATCGCTCATATTAATACCTTGTAAGATGACAATATTATAATTATAATAATGATTAGTAATGAAATAATTACAACTTTAAATAATTATTTAATAGTAAGTGAAATTAATTTATAGAAACTATGTTGCAGGACTCACACATGTCATTGAAGACGTCAAAAAACCGATTGAGAAAACACCAATACTCACCGAGACAGAAAGAAAAACATTATTTTCGAATATTGAAACTGTCTGCCAGACAAACAAGGTGTTCTTACAAGACATGTCGAAGAAAGTTCACTTCTTTAATACCACAACATGTATAGGAGACACTTTTCTGACCTTTATTCCATTCTTGAAAGTCTATAGTGAGTATTGCAGTAACTTCAGACACACAACGGAGCTCCTCCCGTTAATTAAGTACCCACACAAGTTCTCAATTTTTTATTCAGAGATGCAGAGAAAGAATACAACTTTCAAGACGTGTTCTATGTTAGACCTTTTAATCACACCAATACAAAGACTTCCACGGTACGAGTTACTCCTTAAAGACTTATTGAAACACACTGAAAAGAGTCACGTCGACTATGCCAACATCAAAAAGGCGTACGACCAAATCAAAGTAGTTGCAAATCAAGTGAACGAGACTTCCAGACTCTCCGAATTAGTCGAAGAGGCGAGCGGATATATTGATAAGACTTTGCATATACCAGAAGGCGTGGAAGTGTTACCACAAGGCAGAATATTGGTCAAAGCCGTTAAAGTGAATGGGAAAGGAGGAAGAAAGTACGTGGTATTAGTCTTCAATAACGCACTGTGTGTGTTGAAAGAGCAAGACGAAGATACCAACTCGGAGTATTACACCTTCAAATTCCTGTCTGATTACACAAAACTTGCTCTCGTCAGTGATCCGAAGAACCAGAAGAATGAAAATGCAGTGAAGAACCTTAAATTGAAGAATGACGAAATCACTCTTATAACAACTTTTAAAACGGAAGAGGAATTGAACTCGTTTAAGGAACTTGTTGAAAAAGAGATGGACAATTATAAAAAGAAAAAAAGAGAACGTTCATCTCTTTCTCTGTTGGATTAATGGGTAATTCTCAAAACTGCCATTTATGGTCTTAATTCGAGCATTTATTGATCGAAAATTACTTTTTGTGTGTTTTTGGTATTATTATAATTAAATTAAAACAATGTAATTTTAATTTTAACACTTAAGACAACTTTTTGGAGATATACTGTAATTTTTTGATGTATTTTACTTTTTTATCTAATGTAATGCACAAAATAAACTTATAAAAACATGGTGAAATATTTGATAAACTCAAAATTTCTTAGTTTTTTAAACAATAAAATTATGTTCAATGTTATTTAAGGTCTTAAAAAAAATAAAAAATGTGAATGAATTAGAAGCACTTTCTGTGGACGATGGCTGGTCCAGACTCGTCGTACTCTTCCTTGGTGATCCACATGTTCTGGAAAGTGGACAATGAAGCAAGAATTGAGCCTCCAATCCAGACAGAGTACTTTCTCTCTGGTGGTGCAATGACCTTGATCTTCATTGTTGGTGGTGCAAGAGCAACCATCTCCTTCTCAAGTCTGTCGTTGATGCCTGGGTACATAGATGTTCCACCAGACAAGACGATGTTTCCGTACAAGTCCTTTCTGATATCGACATCGCACTTCATGATTGAGTTGTAAGTAGTCTCGTGGATACCTGATGCTTCCATACCAAGGAATGATGGCTGGAAGAGTGCTTCTGGGCATCTGAATCTTTCGTTGCCGATGGTGATGACTTGACCATCTGGAAGTTCGTACGACTTCTCGAGTTCTGATGATGAGGCAGCCTTTTGCATTTCTTCGTTGAAGTCGAGAGCAACGTAACAGAGCTTCTCCTTGATGTCTCTGACAATTTCTCTTTCAGCAGTTGTGGTGAATGAATATCCTCTTTCAGTCAAGATCTTCATGAGGTAGTCTGTGAGATCACGACCAGCAAGATCAATTCTGAGGATTGCGTGTGGGAGTGAGAATCCTTCATAAATTGGGACGCAGTGAGAGACACCGTCACCAGAATCCATGACAATACCAGTCGTTCTACCAGAGGCGTACAATGAAAGGACAGCCTGAATTCCAACGTACATAGCTGGGACGTTGAAAGTCTCGAACATGATTTGTGTCATCTTTTCTCTGTTAGCCTTTGGGTTCATTGGGGCTTCAGTCAAGAGGACTGGGTGCTCTTCTGGTGCAATTCTGAGCTCGTTGTAGAAAGTGTGGTGCCAGATCTTCTCCATGTCGTCCCAGTTGTTGACAATACCGTGCTCAATTGGGTATTTCAAAGTCAAGATACCTCTCTTTGATTGTGCTTCATCTCCAACATAGGTGTCCTTGTTGCCCATACCAGCCATGACTGAGACTTGTTTTGGTCTGCCAACAATTGATGGGAAGACAGCTCGTGGTGCGTCATCACCAGCAAAACCGGCCTTGCACATACCAGATCCATTATCTACAACAAGTGCTTGTACTTCAGCTCCTTCTTCTCCCATTTGAATGTCTTCTTCTTTCAAGTTTGTTGCTTATATATCAATTGGTTAAAGTTTTTGGTTGAAGATATCGTTAGGCAGTTCTTTCAGTTCGCCTCACTCTTTGGTGTTTTTATTTGTTTTCCTTTTCATATTCCAAGTAAACAATCTAATTTTAAATCAATTAAAAATTGTTCAAAAAATAATATAGAGCAAAAGTGTATAAAATGCAAGAGGTGGGGTTCGAACCCACGCCTTCGAAAAGACTCGTACCTGAAACGAGCGCCTTGGACCACTCGGCCACTCTTGCTATACTTTAATTTATTTTTAATTTTTAAATATAATAAATCACTTTAATCCATATATATTTTTGGTATAAACATTTAAATAATTAAATTATCATGAAATATTTAAATAAATTAGAAAGTGTAGTAAAGAGAAATTTGAAAGATATCTCTCAATTGAAAAAATTTCAATTGGATTTAAAATACAAAGTGATTTATGTAAAATATGAAAAAGTAAATCATTCAACCAAACTTTATTACTTCTTTACGTGATTTAACCACGTCAATTTCGACATAATATGGACAAGGAAAGTGTATGAAATGGGTGTACAACCAATAGCTAGTTCCAACTTCTTTCAAATTGTGACAAACATTTAATTTGTATAAAATCGGTGAAAAAAGCTGTTCCTAAATAAAACACCATAAATTCATTTACTTTAAATTTCAGGCTGGACGGTGACATAATTCATGTGGTGGCGTTTAACGTTTTGAACAATTTCAAACACATCATCTTTGTTTTCCTTTTTAATTTCAATGTTTGCCGTTGCAACTTCGTTGTCGTTTGCAAGTTGCCAAACGTGGACTTCCTGTATTTGTGCAATTCCTTTGATTGATGCAATTTCGTTCTGGATTTTTTCAATTGAAAAGTCGTGTGGGGCGCTTTGCATCAAAATTTTGACGCACGATTTGACTAACGGCATTCCCGATGTCATCACAACACAAGCAACAACAAGTGAGAGTGATGGGTCCAAGTAATATTTCCAATCTCCATCAATAAGCAACACCCCAAGTGCAACTATTACGGCCACGACACTTCCAAGTGCGTCTCACATCACATGCAGAAAAACTCCTCTGATATTTAAATTTTTGTGGTGATGTTGATTTTCAATGTCAACACCATTTTCTTTGTATTTAGAATTGGGCAATTCTAGTTGTTATAATTATAATATTATAATTATATATAACACTCATTATATAAATAAATATAATATAATTATTTACTAATTTAATAGAAAACAAACGATTTCCTTTGATGAGTTCACTTTTTGTGTTGTTCACGTCAATTTCTGGGGTTTCTGGATGTTCTTCGGTTTGTTGTGTTTTTAATATGTTTTCGTCGAACACTTGTGAATCGCCTTCAGTGTTTTCTTCGTTCATTTCTTTGTTCTGAAACACTTCAAATTGTTTGTTGTCTTTCTTTTTAAACACATTAAGCAACCCATGCACGTGATCATGGGAATGTCCAACGTGGTGATGGTCGTGGTCGTGGAATAGAAACATTGCTCCGACATTCACCAGAAGTCCCAAAATAGCGACTACTAACATGACAACAGGACTTGTGATGACCTGAATTTGGATGAACCGTTCTACGGCTTCTAGAAATATGAATAAGCCAACAGACAACAAGAATATGCCATTTGTGAGTGCGCCAAGTATTTCAGCTCTAACGTATCCATAAGAGTAATTTGGGGATGCTTTCTTTTTAGATAACAATATGGCAATGAGTCCGATGATTTGTGATGTTAAATCACTTAACATGTGGAATGCATCTGCCAACAAAGCAAGGGAATGTATGACAATGCCCGTCACCAATTCACAAATAAAGAAGATTAAATTGATAGTAAGAAGACCACTCATTTTATAGAAATTTTTATCTTTGTACCATATTGTGTTGTTTGTACTGACAAGGATGATATGATTATCATATTCTTCGTGTGTATTTGATTGATTTAAACAAGAAGGAGTATTTAATTTGTTGTTCTCTTCTGGTGTGTTCAAGTCGATGATTGTAGTTGGGTCGCCTTTGGCTAAAAGTTCATCTGTGGGTGTTTGTGATAATGCAGTTGGTTCCATTAAATTGAAATGAATACTCAGATATGTTATTATGAGTAAAATGCTTATTTAACGAGATTTTTAAATTAACAAAACAAATTTAAACAATGGATTTTATTTTCTCTGTTTTTTGTTCATAAATATATTTTTTATGTGTCTTATTTTTTTATCAAAATTATATGATTAAAAATTACATTAATTATTTTAAACAATGTTTCAATACAAAAATTAAATTCTGAATTGAAATATAGATAAATAATTGGTTATACAAATACAAATTGTTTAGAACCCATTTTTGTACAATAAAAATTTTATAATAATAAACTATTTAATATTAGTTTTTGACTTGAATAAAATACTTACAATTCAACAGAAACTTTAAAAACATTTGGAAAAATATAAATAAATTTTATTATTAATATTTATATATATTTATATATATTTTTGAACATATTCAAAAAATGGAAAAAATAATTATTAATTATTTTGTTTAATTTGACAAAATAATTATAAAGAATAGTTTTTTTATTAGACTATATTTCCAATTTTTATATTCAATAACATTTTGAAATTTGTCATTTTTGAAGATTTTTTAAAAATGTGTTTGAATGAAATTTAATTTAAAAACAATTTAAAAACAATTGTTTCAATATATTATTTAATTACAACTAAAAAACGGAATTAAATATATATTTTATTTGTAAAAGCAAAAGTCGGTTATATGTGTGGTCAACTTTTATATCGGCAATAAGGACCATTGCTTTTCAATTCCAGCATAATTGATAACGATGGACAGTCTATTGATAAACAGTTCAAAACTATGTTTTCTGAGCAATTAATAAAAATTTAGTTTAATTTTTTTGTTTATTCTATCTTTTTTAAAAAATGAATAAAGTATTTTGTTTCATAATAGTAAAAATTAGTTCTTGTTTGGTTATGTTTCAAACATCACACCTTTTATAAATAAAAGCTATAAAATGAATTATTGTTTATAAAAAACAATATAAGATTATAATAAAAACTTAAAAATAAACATTGAAAACAACAATGACGAAATTGGAAAATTTTTATTTGATGAACGTTTCTCTGTATTTAAACACGATGAACACTTTACAAAACTTTATGCTGGTCAATAAAAAGTGTCAATCTTGCCTTACATCTCTTTATATCAATCCTTATATAGATGTTTCTAATGAAATTCTTAAACTAAGTATTAAAGAGCAAAACATTTTGTATTTAAAAATTTTCAACTTTATTGAAAAAACGTTCCCAAAAATCAACACTCTTCAATGCACTGAATATATGCTGACTACTCCAACTTCTTTTTATACAAAAATAAATAAAATACGAATAGTTAAAACGCCTCGACCATTTGAATACACTGGTAGTTTACACAGCCAACCTTTACAATTAACCGTCGTTCCAAAATTGGAAAATATGTTCCTTTTTGGAAACTCTTTTGGGAATTATTTACCGTCTCAATTTGTTAATTTAAGAATTGTCCACCTTAACGCATGGAGACGCAACATTCCACTTATAGTCGATATAATTGACCTTCCACGCATTGAAAAGATCACGTTGTGGAATTGTACAGACCCGAACTACCTCTATATGATGTCACAGCTTTTGGACGGCAAAGACGATTTACTTGTCTTGGAATTGGTGTTCAAGAATTCTGAAGTTTCTGACACTGAAAAAAACAAATTAAATTGCAGTCGAATGAAAAAGTTGCAAACAATCAAAATAGCACTGTTTGTTGAAAAATGTTTATTAAGAGAGGTGATGCGAGAGGAGTTTGAGAAGATCATTTCAAAGTTGCGAAGTCAAAATGTTAATGTGTTTGACTGTGGAGAGACATACGTTGACAAGTGTTGTGTTCTTGATGATTCACGGTTTGTTGGTGAAGTGTCTGTCACAACACAAAGTGCTCTGAACAATACCAATTTCAAGTATGACAGATCTATGCGACATCAATTTGACTATATACCGAATAGAGGCAACTTTGGCAAATGGATGAATAACACAAGAAGAAGCAAAGAAGTAAGAAGTAAAAGATATAATTATTGCAATGAAAAATTGATTGATAGAAACTTTTATGTAATTCGAAGAGAATCAAAACGTGGTTTTAGGGGAAGAGGAATGGAACGGTATAATGGAACACCAACACCCTTTTCTGATGATATTTATGACAATGAAAATTGGACTGATAATGACGTTGAAAATGGTGAACAAAATGAAGATGCAAATAATATTGAAATTGATAAAAATGCTAATTCAATAAAAGACGATGATGATGAAAGACAAGAAAAACTTGAAGATAAAACTGTTGAAAATGATATACAAAATGAAGAAGAAATTGAAGACGAGACATCGACCACTGAACAAGTTAAGTCGCAAAAGGATTTGATTCGGATACCACTGACTTCGCCTTTACTTCTTGTCGATGATTTAATAAATAGAATGTGCGTGTTGAGTAAACAAATAAAAGTATTGAATGTTGTGTCACTGTCTAACATGAATTTGTCTGATTTCAAATTGATGACGTTGTGTATTGAGAAGTGCCGAAATTGCACATTTTCAAACGTGGTATTAAACCGTTTATTATGTACAAAATGCACCAAAATTACTTTTGATAAATTGCAAATTAAAGACTCGATATATCTTGATACATCAAATAAAATGTCTTTCTTTGAATTTTCACATTTTTGTTTTTTCAAAATCCGCCAAAGCGAAGATGTGAAAATATCAAATTTGGTGTTACAAAAACTTCGCATCTTTAACTGCAAAAGTGTAACAGTTGCACAGAGCGAATACTCCAATTTGATATGCAACCAAAGTTCTTCTATTATCTTTGATAATAGCAACAAAGAATCAAAAGTTGCAAACGAAACCATTTTTTCAAGCTTTGAAGAAATTTCCAATTCACAAATTAATGTGATTTGGAGTGGTTCAGTCAAAATTGTTAAGTCGAAATTGTCACAATTTGTGAATTTTCCTAAAAACAACGAAACTGCTATTTTGATTCAAATTGATTTTCAAGAAAAGACTGGAGATGATACGAAACAAGTTTATCCAAATTATAATATTCGTTTTGTGGCAGGAAAGGTATCAAAAGTAAGTTATTTTGACACTAGATGCATTCCAAATTTGCCAGGAATCAACTTGAACTTGTCATATACCAATGATTTCAATGGAGAAAATGTATATCTTGAGGATGCAAAAAATGTTTTTATTAACAGTTACAAACCCCTCAAATTGTTTTGCAAAAATGTCGAAAAAGTTTATTCAATCTCAATGAATGTTGTTCACAAAGGAGTGGATTTTGACTTGCAAATTATATCTAAAAGTGACAAACATTTGGGCAAACAGGACGAAACCACTGTATCAAATAGTCACAAAAATTCTCGTGTTGTGTGTTTTGAACATATTGAAATAAACAGTCTTAATTTACTTGAAGTGTATGGCAATGTGAAAAAATGTGAAGTGTGTATGTTTTACAACACAAGTCCATTTGACGATGATCATATTTATCATTACAAGAGATATAACATGTCAAGTGTCGATGTTTTACATATCATCATTTCGAACAGAGGTCAGCAAATGGTTGATTTGAAAAAATGTAACTCCAAAAAGATAATTTTAGAGACAGAACACCCTTTCTTCGTCAAAGAAATTGTGCTGAACAGAAACACCAAATTCGTTGACACTGGAAAAATTCTATATCGAAAAATCAGTGGCGGTGATCAAAACGTCGAAATCAGAACATCAGAGACAAAATTTGCTGAAAGAGGAAAGGAAGTTTATGTTGTCAAAAAGAAGAAGGAAAAGTTGTGTTGGATGAAATGCACAAAAATTGTTTGTGAAAATGAAGTTGAAGAAATTGTTGTGAAGGGATGTCGTGAACTTCAAGAAATTGTTGTTGGTAGTAATACAAAGAAAATACACGTTCAGTCTTGTGAAAATTTGAGAACTATAAGTGGAGACACCAAAAATGTAAAAATCGTTGTGAGAAATTGCATCAATTTTATTGAAAAGTGAAATTTTGGTAGTTTTTTATGTTTGATATCATCAAATATATTTACAGTTAAACGAAATAACTTCTGTAAATATCAACCTTCTATTTTTATATATTATTAGTATAATAAAATATAACTGAATAATGTTTTATTGAAAAGACCATGAATGGATAGTCTAATTAAATTACAAATTACTTCAAGGAAATAAAACAACACGTCCGTGCTAACCCCATCAAAAAAACGGTTTCTTTTACAACATGCAATGTAATATGCTTAAATGAAATTTTTTAATTATCACCCCCAGTTTACTGAGTTGACAAATACATTGCTAAAGAAAACTCATTTTTCCCTCTTTTCAAAAAATACCTTAACATTCGTTTAAAAACGATTTGGAGAATTCTCAGTCACACTACCAGCGATATTGGTCTCTCAACTAAATTCCTTTAAAGGGGACTTGCCAAATTTGTTTATAAACATAAAAATTTATTATTCACGTTATCTGAAAGACCAGCATCGCTTTTAGTAAATGAATTTGAACAGGATTGACAACACGGATCGGTTGCTATTAATACTCAACTTCTAAATTTTGGTACCACACATGTAATCAAAACATTCTTTTTAACCAACTGTACATTTTTTAAAAAACAACACATCATTAAAATATATAACAACAATCTTTTTATTGTATTTTTAAACAACAATTAATTAAACTTTAAATAAAACCAATTATAAAATTACTAAAAGAAAAAATAAGACAAATGTAATAATTGTTATCCAAAAAATTATAATAACTTGAAATTTTTTATTTGTCATTTTTTCAATAAAATTTAAAAAAACGTTTGTTTGACACGAGTATTTGTTTGATAATAAAGAGTTTTTTTATTTATATAATTTATTTGAATTGTGTTTTGTGGTTTGTTTTTTTACCAAATAAAAAGGGTATTTTGTGATATGATTACAATAAAGTTCCAACATTTCAAACGATTTCTACCCAAATTGTGAAATAAATAGAAAAAGTAACTTAAATTAGATAAAAATAGCAACTACATTTTTATTGTTATTTTCAATCAAAATAAAATGGAAATTAATCAAATAAAAATCAATAGCGACTTATTTGTAAATGATCATTACATTAAGTTTATTAATTGCTTATTCCGTTTCTAGAAACAATCGTGATTATTGTGTCAATTACGAAAATAAAAAGAATACTTGTTCTAAGTGTGCTGATGGTTATATACTCAAAGACGGTTATTGTGTTCATAAATTAGATCTTCATTACAGTTTTGATTCAACAAAAACAAACCCTCAATGTGCAGATGGTTATAAGTTTAACTTTGTAGATAATACTTGTATTATAGGTGTTGAAAAATGTAGAAAAATTAATAACAAACCTGATACCACCATAGTTAGTTATTATTGTGACAGTTGTTACAACGATTTAACTGTTATTAAAAAAACTCATAAATGTACCGACTGCTCAAGAGAAAATAAAGGCTGTTTAAAGGCCGACGAAAAATGTGAAACGTGTGCAGAATGTAATACTGGGTTTTATCTTGATCAAGGAAAGTGTGTCCAATTACCCAATTGTGAAAAATATTCAACTTCCACTTCATGTAAACAATGTATTATGGGATATTACCCCGACATAGGTACTTGTGAACGCGGACGCATGGACAATTGTTTAATTTATACTTCACAGAAAGATTGTGATACATGTGGTACAGAATATTTAAGTTTGGAAGGAGAATGCCACCATATGCCATACTGTGAATACTTAAACAATAAAAGGGAAGAGTGTGAAAAATGCAAAGACGGTTATGGCAAATTAATGACAGATTGTGCGAAATGTATGGACAATTGTGAATTGTGTGGATTGAATCAGACAACATGTGAAAAATGTAAAACTGGATATCGGTACAATTCAGGAAAATGTAGCAAATGTATTTCAAATTGTGATGAATGCAGCAAAGATGATACATGTGACAAATGTTCAATGGGCACAAGTTACATGGAAGGAACGACAAAAAAATGTGATACAAACACAGTTGAACATTGTATGATCGGTAAACTAAATAATGTAAATGTATGCCAAGAATGTGAATTGAATTATTTCTTGAGTGAAGATAAAACCAAATGCATTCAATGCGAAAAGAATTTGTGTTCAAATTTGGATTCAAGTGCATGTAAAATGTGTTCAAATAACTGTGAACCCGTTGACTTGGATAAAAGTAAATGTGTTTCTAAGTCAGCCTGTAAAAGTACAATTGGTGGGAAATGCTCAAGTTGTATAAAAGGATTCTTCCTAACAGCATATTTCAAGTGTGATAGTTGTTCAAAACAATGCAAAGGAATGTGTTACAATAACGCAAGCAGTTGCATTGTCGAAAAAGAAGAAGGATGTGCAATAGCTGATATCAATCACGTGTGTATTACATGTGAAAATGGTTACATGTTTTCAAATAAGAAGTGTGTCGATGCATCTAAAGGAAGAGTTTGTCAAGTTTATGATTCGGATAAAAAATGCGTTGTTTGTCAAGTCAGCGATCCAGATAACACAGATAATGATAAATTTGTTTTTCCCGTTTGGAACAATACTTGTGAATTAGATAAGGACGATTCAATGAATTCCGATAATAATGATTCAATAAATTCCAATAATAGCGAATCATTAATTATCGTAACAATGACTATTATTTTGGCAATATACTCATTATTGTGAGTTTTTTCAGGATTAAAAAACTTTTTTGTTGTTATTATTATTTATTTAAATATGCAAGTTTTTTCAATTTATAAATTAAAATAACATTATTCTCAATTATATTTATTGTGATTATATTTAATATTTAAAATAATATTTTTGTCGTATTTTTGAATAAAATGGATTGTGTTTAACTAAAAATCTTTATACAATCAAACTTTATGATTAAGAAAACGTGTTTTATTTTTTGTGTTTTAAATTAAAGGCGTTTTAAGCAAATAAAAAGATAAAAAACGTTTAATAGTAACTAATATATGTGGAGGATATATTAAACAGTTGTCAGTTGATAATTTTTTATTATTTTAATGACAACCACTATTTTCCATGACAACCAATAATTCTTGTATCTGTATTCACATGAATAGTAATATTCGAAAAAGTCATCAAAACATTATTTACATCTTTTGTTATTTCTTATTTAACACTCAATTTTTTCTACATTTTTAAGGAGGCTTTTAAACTATTGAAAACTTCAGTCTAGTTCTCTTCTTCAAATATTTTATCTTTGAATGTTTACGCACAAATTCTAATTTTGAGAATATAAGCGTTGAGACATTCAACGCATTTTAATTAATTTGATAATCAGTATTTACAGTGTAATTTGGCATCTGTCCTGTCTGTGTGTACTTTCCTTCAACATTTTTGCCGTCTATTTAATAAAACTTTTCTTTGAATTGTTTACAACCACTGTGACTTGAACTAATGCATTTTTGTGTCCAACAACTAATTGGAGCATTTTGGTGGTGCTCCAATCAGTCGTAAGACGCTGTGCTACTTCTTGTATTCACTTGTCTGTTCCGAAGTTGTTGTTCCCATCATCAAACAACTGCTCTGCAAGTGCTTTTGCAAGCTCCGTCTTACCGACACCACCAAACAACGTAAATGGCCCAGTCGGTCGCTTGTCTGGGCATAGACCACTTCTGCCTTTCAGAATGGCCACAGAGACTGTTGTCACGGTTTCATCATGCCCAGCAACTATCTTGTGCATTTCTTCCAAGTTTCATCAATTTTGTCTTCTCGCTCTGTGTCATTCTGCTTACTAAATGTTGTCCAAATTAATTATTTATTTTAATCAACCATTTTTATAAGTAATTAATGAAATTATTTATGAATTATAATTGTCAAAAGTGAATTATGTTTGGGGATTTAAAAATATTGTTAATATTTAATGTATAAATTGTATATTTTTCATTGTTACTGTTTTAAAAATGACAAATAGACTCGTGCACATTTTTCACAGGTCAATAAAATATATAGATTTGGTCTGGTTTTAAGTAATTTTTAAAAATTACGCAAATGTGTTTTTAATAAAATAATTATGATAAAGAATAATTTATAAAAATCATATTTTGTTTCAAAACAACATACAATTGATATGTTCCACGGTAATTTATTGTTAATGATTATTAACATTTTAATAATGTATTATATTTAATTTGTTAATTTACTATTAAATAATAATATTTTCCAATATTTCTTTTTTGCTTGTAATGGTAAATGACTCTTAATCAATAATTTATTATAATTGTAAACAATAAAAAATGGAAATATTTAAACAACAAAAACTGTGAATATCTAAATGTCTCGACTTACTGGTTATCACATCATGATTGTCTCCAAGTATTTTGAGACCATTGACAACTTTATTAAGTTGGAGTTAGTATGCAAAAAGTTTGGTGGTAATATGGAGAAGTTTCACTTCAACCCAATTCCGTTGAATTTCAAAACACTTGGATACTTTCCAAAGATTGAGACACTTCACTTGTGGAATGCAAAAAATGAGAACTTTGGCAATGGATTTTTGATCAACACAAAAGAAAATATAGATTGTGAAAATAAACCCGTTTTTAAAAAAGAGTTCTTCTGTATTATTGTGTGGTTTGATGTTGATTTTGAAACTTTTGACAGAAACAAAAGTCTAAACATCGAGTTTAAAAATATCACTTACACTCAAAATGATAGAGAGAAATTTGGTAATAACATACCATCAAATGTTAAATCACTTGGTGATAATTGTTTTCGTTGCTGCAGTAGTTTAAGTAGTATTGCTATACCATCGAGTGTGACATCAGTTGGTTATGGTTGTTTTGGTGAATGCAGTAGTCTTGGTAATGTTAACATACCATCAAGTGTCATATCAATTAATATAGGTTGTTTTTATAAATGCATTAATTTAAGTAATGTTATAATACCATTACTTGTAAAATCAATTGATGAAAGCTGTTTCTATGAATGTGGTTGTTTAAGTAGTATTACAATACCATCTAGTGTCACATCAATTGGTGATTTTTGTTTCCGTGGATGTATTAGTCTAAGCAGTATCACAATATCATCTATTATAACATCATTTGGTGATTTTTGTTTCTGTGAATGCAGTAGTCTGAGAAGTGTTACAATACCATCTTGTGTTAAATCACTTGGAATTCAATGTTTCTATGGATGCAGTAGTTTGGGCAGCATTACAATACCATCAAGTGTGACATCAATTGACAATAATTGTTTCAGGAATTCAGTAGTCTAAGCACCTTAACAATACCACCAAGTGTGAGATATATTGATGATAATTGTTTCCCATCAGATACAAAAGTTCATCAAAATAAATGAGATAATTTAGTTATTTGTTTAAATATAATAATCAAAAAAATCATTGAATATAATACTGAAATCGAAAAAATCAAAATCGAGATTGAGTGTGCAAATAAAAAGGCTTCTAAAGCCAATTTACACAAGATAACTTAAATGTAAGATTGTGTAAATTAATGAGTATATACCACGTCATTCAAAGATATTAATAACATATTTTTATTTCCATGATACAGTTTGGTGATTAATAAATGCTATTTTTAATAAATATTTATAAAGTCGACCAGAAAAATATCGTACACCAGAAAATACTCGTACACTTCCTAAAATAGAATTTTTTAAAGATTTTTACTCAAAGAAATTTCATTTTTCACTTTGATTTTATAAACTGATCCTTTTTTGATCTTTTTTCTTCCAAATGATGCTTTAAATCATTCTTGATGTATTTTTTGTTCTTTTTCACGAAATAAAATTCATTGAAATTTTATATTTTGTCAAGATTATCATTTTTTATAAATTGTTTTTTGTTATTATGTAATTATTGTTATTGGTAAGTATAGTTCGGTATAGTTTGAATAGTTTACAACAATGTCTAATATTTTTCGAAATATGTTTTTTAAACAAAGTTCATAAAAATAGAACACCATTGATACCACTATATCTACTCAACTCAACTTTAATATCTTAAATGAACAACGGTGACTCATCGATTAACAAGTGTTTAGCATTACTAATGTGGCACTTAATTATTTTAATTACATAATCAAAATTTTGAAGAGTGAACTTGATTTTTTTTTCAAAGTTCGTTTTTTAATGTTTTTATCGAAAGTAAATAATATGAAAAAATTTCAATATAAACACATTCAAAAAACTGTTCCGAACAATGTTTGTTCAATGACTTAACTACAACGATTGATGTGCAAAGTTGATATGAACTGTATTTTTTATCACTTGTGTTTTTTTGTAAAATTTTAAGAAAATACAAGCACTTATCAATGACAATAAAAACAAATTTTTAAGCATAAAACCCGAATTTGTACCATGATTAATATATATGATTTGTATAATTATTCGAGTTGTCATAAAACAAAACTTGCCAAAACACAAAAAATTAAAACAACCCAATAACAAAGTTAAAAACATTTTTTATGATTAAAAAATAAACATTTTGATTGTTTAAATAATCTTGCTTATACACAATCATGACTTTAAAACCAATGGTTAAATACAAATTAAAATCACAAATAAAATTATTTAATAAAATATAAGAATAAACACTGAGTTACCCATTAAGTTGACCAACTTTTATTGTATATGATAACCTCAATTAAATAAAAAACATGACATTAACTAAATAAATGAGTATAATGTGTGTATTTTATAAATGTTTTCTTGGCTTTTAACATTTAAAAATACACGAAAAGATATCGAAAAAATTGTTCAATATGACCAAAAATATCAACAATATAGTAAATGAATATAGTTTTTTTCTATATATTAAATAACTATATTATACATAAATTATATAACAGGTGACGTTTTGTTTTGAAAACAACAATAGTAATATTTATTAAACAATTATAGTATATAATTAGTGTTTTTTTTTGTAAAATTTAACATTCAAAAGAATAGTTTAATTGTTATATTAAAGCTATTTATTATTTACATTCAACATAACCCCATAATTATAAATTAAAATATACATTCAATTCAAAAGATAGAGGAATACATAAAAAGTAATTAAATTGTAAGTAAAATGGGTTTGGTTTAACTTGAATTGTTTTCATAATGTTTAAATTATAATAAAGGATTTGTATATTGATAAATTTGTTATTATTTGTAATAATTTGTGGTTATCTTAATATAATGTAAATAATACTGTTAATAATAACATACTAAAATCATTAATTTAAATGTTAATTCATAATAAAAATATACCAGTCTAGTTCGAAGATATGAAAAAATAATTATATATACAATTAAAATTAATACAACATTTTTAATTAACATTATTATTTCAAATTGTTTGATAATAATGTATTAATATTTTATTATCAAATATAGTACATTTATCGCTTGTTTGTTAATTAAACCATCTATATTTGGAATAAATAATTGATTTATAAAATGATGGTTTATTGATGGTTTATTCAATGTAATATTCTCTAAACAATTTGAATCTTTTTAAACATTTCAATAAAAGTTCAATGTTTTTGATTTGAAAACAGCTTCGAATTGTTTCTTATATCGAGAAAATTACAAAGAAATTTTTATTAACTTTTCTTTAAAAAAAATGTAATTTATGTACACAAATCTATTTTAGGAAGTGTACGACAATTGTCTGGTCGACTTTATCCAAATTATTTCCTATTGTGTAATAGATCTTAATACCATAAATATCAAATTAATTAAAAAGATTTATTATATTGTAGTATATAAATCGTGCCAATTTAGGGGGACTACGTCCCCGCCTAAATCTTCACAATTTCGTCGCTTAGCTCCGTTATTTTAGGGTTATTATTTTTTATTTATTATTTCAAAGTGATAATTTTATTTTTTCTTATCCTAAATGAGCACTACACAAGAATTCTTGAAAAAGAATTTTCACAAATTTATTAAAACTTATTCCGAAGAAGAAATTTTTGATTTTTTTAGAATTAAAGATGGAATTATTAAATCACCATCTACTAAAATTTTAAATAGAGAATGTAGAAAAGAATTATTGAAAATGAATATTGAATCTAGAGATGACTATCTTAAACTTAGAAATAATTATCAAAAAACAATAGTAAAATTAGAACAACCATTTTTAAGAATTGTGTTTGATAAATTAAATAAAACTGATAAACAAACTTTTGGATTAATTAATAAAAAAGCAACATTAATTAAAAATTTAGATGATGAAAAAGATCTTAATAAAAAGAATTTAGAATGGAGTTTAAAACATAATACCGAAATAGATGATGAAACAATATCTCAAGAATATTATAATGATCTTAATGATCAACTTAAGAATGAAAAAGAAAACGAATACATGATTAATGATTATTATAATATAAAAAATAATTTAGACTGGAGTTTAAACAATAATATTGAACAAAGAGATAAAGATGAAAACAGAGATCAAATTTATGATGAATATGAACCATACAAACGATCAATAAATGATAATGAATATAAAACAGAAGGTGTAACATATGACGTAGATAATAATATAATTCATGCTGATCTTAATAGCGGATTTGAAGAAAAATTAAGATGAATTGGTATGATTAGACAGTTTTTTAATCAATTAATTGAAAAACTGGATTCAACAACAAATTTAGTTTATAAATATAGATTTACTGATACCACTTGGAAAACATATATGTTAAATTCTAAAGAAAATATAGATGAATTTCTTAAATCAATATCAAACAAAACTCTTGGTTTATATAATCAATCTGAAATTGAAAACAGTTCAGATTCTGCATTTTATGTTCAACGTGAAGTTCCAGAATTTTTATTTATTACAGAATTAATAATTGAAGAATATGATTATAAAAATGAAATTAATGAATATCGAAACAATGGTGCTGCATTCTTTTCTTATCATTATACAGAAGAATATAAATGTTTCTCTAAATATTTAAAAATAGCACAAATATTTGATTCTCTTAGTGTTGAAAACAAAATTAGACCTGAATTAAATAATAATTGTTTAATATATGCGTTACAACAAGATAAAATAGATGAGAAAATTATTGATTTATATCGTGTTCATTGTTATTCAAGATATCAGAAAATTAAATTGATAGATAAAGTTTCAAAATCATGTAATATTAGAATTCAAATAAAACGTGAAGAATTAAAGCGTAAAGATCATGCTAATACAATAATGAAATATATAGGATCAGATAATGAAGAAGCTATTGAAATTAGTATGTATTTATTTAGAGATTCAAATATGAAGGGTGATCATTATTTCTTAGATGTTGATATTCCTATTACTCCATTTTATCTTAAGAATAGAGTTGAAATGAATGAATGGGCATTAGATCACAACAAACCAATTGAATCCGTGTTTAATAAACAACGTTATAATAAAAATAAACAATGTTATGAAGTTAAAGATAAAAATAATAGTTCTATCAAATTATCTGAACTTATTTTATATATTAGAGATAATAATGGTTTTAAACCATATTCACTTAGCGATGTACTTCATTTACCATCTGATTTATCTTATTATGTTAAACAATCAATCGAATCATTAGATTATCTAGATTTCGAAGTTAAACCAATAACAATGGAAAAAACTACTAAAAAATCTAAATGTAAAAACTATACTTACTATTATGCAGATTTTGAAGCTAGCACACAAGGAATTCATAAAGCATATTGTGTTGCTTATTCTAAACGAAATTCATTTCAAATTTCATGTAAATACGGAAACGAATGTGTAGAAATCTTCTTATCTGATTTAGATAATAATTCTGTTGTTTACTTTCATAATTTGAAATATGATTCGTGTTTCTCAGCAAAATATGGAATTGAGACATGTATTAAGAAAGATGGAAAAACTATGAAAATGAAACTAAATTATCACAAAAAAAGAATTGTTTTGAAAGATAGTTATTCAATGATTTCAAATAAGTTATCAGATTTTCTTAAAATGTTTGATTTATCTAATATTTAAAAAGAATTATTCCTTATAATTACTACGACGCAGATAGAATTCAAAATAACGTTGGAATAATTTCAGAAGCTGGTGAATATGAATCTCAAAAATGGAATAAAGATCAATATAATTTATTTAAAGAGAATATATATAAAATTGATAATTGCTAAGGAAATAACGACAAGTTCGATATGAGATTATATTGTAAATTCCACTGTTGTCAAGACGTTAGAATATTAAAAGAAGGTCATATTAAATTCCGAAATAATAATTTGAAAAGTTTAAATATAGATGTTGACAACTTTATTAGTATATCGACTCTAGCTAATCACTATTTCAAATTACATGTTTACACACAAATTTCAAACTTAATGCAATATTCTGGGAAAGTTAGAGAATTTATACAGGGTGCAGTATATGGAGGTAGAAATATGTGTAGAGATAATACTAAACAACATGTTACTAAAGATTTATATGATTATGACGCATGTTCATTATATCCCAGCGTTATACATAGGCTAAAACTAGCAACTGGAAAACCTATAGTAATCCCTCAAGAATCATGTAATAAAACTATATTAAACCACTTAATGTTAGAACAACAATTAGAACCAACAAATGAACGTTATATATCAGCATTTATTGTGGATATAGAAATAACCAAGGTTAACAAACATTTACACTTCCCAATTATAACTAAGAAAGATAAAAAAGGTAATCATAATGTTAATGAATGTTGTACAATGAGAGTAGATAATAATATGCTTGAAGACATGATTAAATTTCAACAAATAGAGTTTAATATTATTAGAGGATATTATTGGACTGGTTGTAAATCGAATGTGTTTAGTAATGAGATTGAAAAGATATACAATTTAAGATATCAACTTAAAAAGAAGGTAATCCATTACAAAATAATTATAAATTATTGATGAATAGTTCATATGGAAAAACAATTCAAAAACCAATTAAAAATGACTTGGTTTACAAATATATTAATAATAAAGTAAAATGTGATTCAGATAGGTATCTTAAAAAGAACTTTACATTAGTTAAATCTATGTATAACATATCAGATAATAATAGATGTTTTGAAACAAACAAACCATTTGATGACTTCTATGTTCCAAATCTCATTGGTGTACAAATATTAAGTATGAGTAAGAGAATAATAAATGAAGTAATGTGTTTAGCAGAAGATTTAAATATAGATATATATTATTAAGATACTGATTCAGTGCATATAGGCAAAAATAAGATAGAACTATTAGAACAAAAATATAAAGAAATATATGGTAAAACATTAAGAAGAGGTGAATTAGAACAATTCCATCCAGATTTCGATGAATTATCTGGGGATGTATATTCAAAAGAATCTTTCTTCTTAGGTAAGAAAGCTTATATAGATGTATTAACAAACGATAAACAAGAACATGCTTTACATATGAAAATGAAAGGTATTCCAAACAATTTATTGGAAAATAACGAAAATCCAATTGAATTATATAAGAAACTCTACGCGGGAGAATCTTATACATATAACTTACTAGAATTAAAACCTAGTTTCGAATTTAGTAAGACATTTGATATAAAAACAAGAGAAAACTTTACAAGAAAAATCCAATTCTAAATGAAGACAACTTATTCGTAACCAATTATTTTATAGACTTTTATATGTTCCCAGCATATATTAGTCTTATTTTTTGGTTTGAAATCATTTGAGATTATTTTATAAAAATAAAAATTAAAAATAATTAATTTGAAATAATCTTATAAAGTATGACAACATCTGATAACATCTGAGAAATACTTAAAATATTTAATATAATATGAGAGTTTATACAAATTGACTTATAAATTCATCAAAATCTTCACATTCAATTTCTGATTTAAATTCATCAACCTTCGGGATAAGTTTCTCTTTAACATGAAAGGTAGAATTAATATTTTCATGATATTTTCTTAGTGGTTTATTACTAAATGTCATTCCTTTATGATTATTATCTTTGATACTATATCTAACCCAATCGTCACTATATTTACTAACTCTAGGTTTGATTAATTTGACAGTGTCGTCCTTAATTTGAAATAACTCTTTAAATTCAACTCTATAGTATAAATCAACTTCGTGATTATTTAATTCTGTAATATGAACACATTTCTTTTTAATAGCTTTAATAATTCGTTCAATGGTAGTTGTCATTTTAGACTTACAAAAAATTAAATTATCACTTTTAAATAATAACCCTAAAATATTTAAATCTAAATAACGGAGCGAAGCGATGAAATTGTGAATATTTAGGCGGGGACGTAGTCCCCCTAAATCGGCACGATTTATATACTACTATATTTAAAAATAAATTAAAGTATAGCAAGAGTGGCCGAGTGGTCCAAGGCGCTCGTTTCAGGTACGAGTCTTTTCGAAGGCGTGGGTTCGAACCCCACCTCTTGCATTTTATACACTTTTGTTTTATATTATTTTTGAACAATTTTTAAATGATTTAAATATAGATTGTTTACTTGGAATATGAAAAGGAAAACAAATAAAAACACCAAAGAGTGAGGCGAACTGAAAGAACTGCCTAACGATATCTTCAACCAAAAACTTTAACCAATTGATATATAAGCAACAAACTTGAAAGAAGAAGACATTCAAATGGGAGAAGAAGGAGCTGAAGTACAAGCACTTGTTGTAGATAATGGATCTGGTATGTGCAAGGCCGGTTTTGCTGGTGATGACGCACCACGAGCTGTCTTCCCATCAATTGTTGGCAGACCAAAACAAGTCTCAGTCATGGCTGGTATGGGCAACAAGGACACCTATGTTGGAGATGAAGCACAATCAAAGAGAGGTATCTTGACTTTGAAATACCCAATTGAGCACGGTATTGTCAACAACTGGGACGACATGGAGAAGATCTGGCACCACACTTTCTACAACGAGCTCAGAATTGCACCAGAAGAGCACCCAGTCCTCTTGACTGAAGCCCCAATGAACCCAAAGGCTAACAGAGAAAAGATGACACAAATCATGTTCGAGACTTTCAACGTCCCAGCTATGTACGTTGGAATTCAGGCTGTCCTTTCATTGTACGCCTCTGGTAGAACGACTGGTATTGTCATGGATTCTGGTGACGGTGTCTCTCACTGCGTCCCAATTTATGAAGGATTCTCACTCCCACACGCAATCCTCAGAATTGATCTTGCTGGTCGTGATCTCACAGACTACCTCATGAAGATCTTGACTGAAAGAGGATATTCATTCACCACAACTGCTGAAAGAGAAATTGTCAGAGACATCAAGGAGAAGCTCTGTTACGTTGCTCTCGACTTCAACGAAGAAATGCAAAAGGCTGCCTCATCATCAGAACTCGAGAAGTCGTACGAACTTCCAGATGGTCAAGTCATCACCATCGGCAACGAAAGATTCAGATGCCCAGAAGCACTCTTCCAGCCATCATTCCTTGGTATGGAAGCATCAGGTATCCACGAGACTACTTACAACTCAATCATGAAGTGCGATGTCGATATCAGAAAGGACTTGTACGGAAACATCGTCTTGTCTGGTGGAACATCTATGTACCCAGGCATCAACGACAGACTTGAGAAGGAGATGGTTGCTCTTGCACCACCAACAATGAAGATCAAGGTCATTGCACCACCAGAGAGAAAGTACTCTGTCTGGATTGGAGGCTCAATTCTTGCTTCATTGTCCACTTTCCAGAACATGTGGATCACCAAGGAAGAGTACGACGAGTCTGGACCAGCCATCGTCCACAGAAAGTGCTTCTAAAACTTTTTGTTTCTAATTTTGTTTTTTGAATTTTAAACACAACATAAAGCATTCTAAAAATTTATAAGTTGTCAACATTGAGATTCTGATAAATAAATAAATAATTAAATAAAAATAAATTCACGATTAATTGTTCAAAAATTTAGAATCAAATTAAAATCATGTTTAAAAATTTGTTTAACAAAAGCAGTAAAGTTTAAAACAACTTCAGAATATGTTCAATAGAATTTATTTTACCACAAAATAAAGACATTTTCCAAACAACAAAAACATTTTACCAGTTGTTGAATACAAACGACAATTTATTTTTTTATAACAGTATAGGTGGGGAGTACCCCCTGTCCTCCTCCATAGCCTCCGAAGATGCCAAACCCAATAACAGAGAAAGAAAATTAGTTATCATTTTTTCACTCTATGCAGGGTATCTGAAATATTTTGAAGCCGACTATAGTCCTCATTTTGTTGGTAACACCACTTTACTTGGATTTAGTTTGGAGAGTCGTTTTAGCACTTGGTGCAGTCCCATGTATCCTTATTTTATATCACAGAATAATAATGCGAATGCCAAAAAAGAAAGTAGTTGCAAAAACAACAAAAAGTGAGGAAAAACAACTGATTAAGAAGAATTGGTATTACTTATTTGGGACCGCTGGTTGTTGGTTCTTCGTTGATATTGCGTTCTATGGCAACTCGATGTTTAATTCCACGGTACTACAATTCATTGGATTTGGACCGAAAGACACGGACAGTGATCACCGGCAAGGCCTGATTTCCACTGCAATTAAAAATTTGATATTAGTCTCAATAGCATTCCCTGGCTTCATAGTCAGTTTCTTATTAGTCGATCGGATTGGAAGAAAGCCATTACGGTTGTTTGGATTTGCTGGGACAGCAGTTTGTTTGTTGTTCTTATGATCGGAACAGCTATTTCCGAACCATTCCCGTTCAAGTTTGGTCACTTAGGGACGTTCTGTTCATGTGGTGGATTGATGATGATGGGTTTTCTTTGTCGTTCATTGCCCCAGAAGGAGAGGGCGTAGATATCTAAGATGTCAATGTTCTCGATGGGTATGAGAGGTTCGAAGACGACACTTCCAAAAGTGTCGAGAAATAAAAATGATTGTTATTTACAATCATTTTTATTTGATAGTTGTCAAGATACCAATGAAAAATTATGTAATTATTTGTTATTTTTAAACAAAAATCAATTCACATTCGAAAACAAGAATTAATTGATAATTTTAATAACTTTTTTAAAGTTTCAAACTTAATTAAATCAATTTGTAAAGACACAAAGAACAATTGTAAAGAAAAAAAACAAAAACGAAAAGAAGGCACATTTTTTAAAAAATCATAAAAAACCAAATAAAAAATAATTTTAAATGATATTCAACCACCCAGTTTTTGATTTGTTTGTCAAATTATTTTAAAAATAAAATTAATTCGACAAATAATTGATCCATGTTGTTGAGTTTAAAAATAAAATAAGTCTTGAATTTTTTGTTGTATTTTTCGTATGTTATAAATATTGAAATTACAATCATATCAATGATAAGTGTTGTTGTTAGTATAATTTAATTTTACAACAAAAATTATTGTATTTTGATTCAAATAATTATAATAATTAGAATAATTTTGTTAAACTTGTTAAATTGTATTTTTGGAATAATGAAATAGTTGGATTTGAATGAAAACCAATATTTTGTTGTTTTTTTTGATTGAAAAATGTTTATTTTTTTGACTTTTCAAATAACAGTTACTTTAGATGTAAAAACACTGAAAAACAAAAAGAAAATATTTTATATTTAAAAATAAGTAAAAATAGCTTTTAATAGTAAATATAAGTAAAAATATAAATAATAATATAATAGTAAATATAATTAATTTTTATAAATATTTTAAAATCGCTAAAATATCACATCCAATTGCAACAACGACATCAATTAAACATTGGAATATATATTTTTAAAAACAAAACCGTTTATTTTAAAAATAAAATAAAGGGTATTTTTATTTTTGACAAAATACCTCTATTTTAATTTTAAATGCTTTGATTTTAATATTCAAATAAAATCACGATCCAAACAATTAGATAACAAAAAATGGAGATGTGGTGGCATTGTTTCGATTTTTTGAATAGAAGCATAAACCACTATATTTTTATTTATTATTTGTGTGATATTATTTTGAAAACAATAAAAAAACCATTAACATATATTAGAATACAATTGAAAGAACCAAAAGTCTAGAGATAGCATACAAAGATCCAATTAGCTTGTATTCCGACATTGTATTAATAGAATACCGTATTTTTGGTAGATGATAAATAAGAAATTTAAAAATAGAAAATTAAACAGTACATAAAGCAAGAATTTGATATTTAAACACATTGATTAACATGGCTACTTGAAGTAAATATGTATTATATATCGAAAACGAATATGCTGTATTAACCAAATAAAATGTGTCTATAATTGCAAGCATACATTCAAAGCTTGTAATTCTCTGTATGTTTATTATATATAAACAAATACAACCAACAACTAAGGCGTCATTAATGTACAATTAACAGTATTATTATTAACATATACACTCTCTTTAATCAACACCAAACGAAAACAATGCGCCCTTGCCCATTTGGTTACAAAACATCATTATTATTGCACACAGGTTGTTTCTGTTTGTTTTAACATTTAAAGTATTAACCATACAGAAAGTGATCATCCATATAGACGCCGGCTTGTACATAGTCGGCAAGCAATGTAATTGGACAATATATCCCTGTCAAATAGCCATTGCCATTGTGACTCTTTTATAATAATAAAGGAGTCCCTCTTTGTTGTTTAAATGAAGTTAGACTGAATATAAAAAATCAATAAAACAAATAAATAGGGCTTATACGGCACAAATAACAGTCTACCCAACAAATCACAGAGGTGTGAGCGCTTATATTTATAATATTTATATTATAAATATGATACAGAGAAAGACACAAAGGAAATAAAATGAAGATTGAAGAAGAAATGAAGAAGAAGTCGCTGGGATATAATTGATCGATTACATTGTTAGTTCATCGTTTTTTATTTGTAAAATTTGTTTTATAAAAATAAAATAGCTTATAATTGATTATATAGTAAGTAATAAACGTATAGACAAATTATAATTGTTTATAAACTATAAACTTTTTATTCTAAAATTAATAAAAAATCTAACAATCATACATTTTATTATAGTAGTCAGGTCGACAGAAATATAATCATAATAATCAAATAAAAAGTATTTGATTTAATTGAAACCTTAATGAATACTGTTTATCTATGTTGATGTATTTTGAGGTTGTTGTGTAGAAATCTGATGACAAAAATGACACAATTATAATTTAAGCAGTTTTTATTTAAATGTTACTGATGATGCAATCAACCAAATTTATTTTAAATTCACAATAGTTGTCAAGTTATTAATTAATAAAAATGTATAACGTTCAAAAATGTGAGAACGTAAGAGAGTTGTTATGAAAATAATTTGTTTTTTTAAATCACAACTACAATTTAAAATAAAATATTCACATCTGAAAAAAATGATAGATTTGAATTTGTTTAGCAATCAAATTGTATCAAATGAACATTTGAAATTATATATAGGAAAACATAGAAAATATTTACAGACCACACACAGAGTACTTTTACTATCTTTAAATAAAATTAAATTTTTAAAACTATAACCAAACAACAGTTAAAATTCAACAACACATCATCAAATCATTTAATTCTATTTTCAAAATGTGAAATCAAATTATTAAACATCTCAAATTGAAACAAATTTCAATTTATCAACAATAAATATGTGTTTCATGACATCGTTTTTGAAACATTAAAAACACATTGCACATTTTTGGATAAGTTTGTTGAAATAATTAATGATGACGAAATACCCTATTTAGATTACATCAACAATACTATTTAAGTTGTTTGTATTTAATAAATAACGATACTTTGTGTTAAAGATGTTTGTTGTAGCTCAAACAATCATTGTGACTGATATTACCACGATTTCTTGTGTAAATGAGTGATTAGAAATAATTATTGTTGATTCAAAAACAGAAATATTTAGACTGAAGTTTTTTATTACTCGAACTTAATCTAAAAAATATTTGGAATGATATTAAAATTTTAATCAATCCATTGTTTATACAATGGTTTAATCAAATATTTGTTTAAAATATTATTCATTTTTAATTATAACAGTATTTAAAATATCGTACTTATTGTCTATATTTTTTATTTAATTACAAACAACAAAACAACAAATTAATTACAATTATTTAATAACTTGACTAATTGTTCAACTGCCTCATTCTTATATAATCTTTCGCCTCCTTTTTGTTTCCAATATTAATCTACGAGTTTATATCTATCATCTGAAAAATAATTTTGCCATTCAAGACTTTTCCAAGCAGTGACAAATTCTGTGATCTTCCATGGAAACCCGAATTGTGTTTTGAAGTATGCATTACACCACCCAAAACACTCATATGTCGTGATATCAAAAAGTATATAATTGATGGTTTTTTGTTGTGTTCATTTTTTCAATCTTCGGGCGCCATATGTTTTGGCTATGTACGCCTCTAGTTAATGTTATATTGATCATCAGCATATTAATATTTCGACTCATTTTAAATTCAGTCAATTTTGCATTACTCTCGACATCACTTTTTATATGAAATATCAATTAATGTCTGGCTTTGTGTCTCTGTGTATTATCCCATTTTCATATAAGTAAAAAATTGCTTTAGCTCCATCAATCAAAAAGTTAATTTGCACATGTGGAGCTAAGGTTTTTTCTTTCTACTCAAATACCAATTGGATAATAATGAACAAGTTTTTTATTTTTAAAATGGTCCAAATATAACTTTTTATATTCAGTTTTTACAGTATTATAAAAATTATTAATTATTTGTCGAAACCATAATTCTGGTCTAAACCTTAGTACGACTTTTGTATTACTTTGTTTATTTGTCCTTTAAAATTTTAAATTACAGTGTTATTCACTGGGTTTTCAATTCCCACCATTTTTAATAATTATTAAGTCAGTTTATTAATTATTTAGTCAAAAAAATAAATTATTTCTTTATAAAATGTTATAAAAAATATTACAATGAAATTAATTTAAAGATTATCTTGAGCATACACCTTTCTCCAAACTTCATTTCTACATCTTTGCATTGTCGCATTAATTTCGTGTAATTATTTTGAAATGCTGTTTAACAATGTGAATGAAATGAGTAATGCGGTTTTTGCGGTTTTAATGGTTCAAAGGATATATACTTCCCACTTTCATCAACTTTGTCAGCAAAGCAGCGCAATGAATAGGTATTCCAAAAGTCTGTTAAAAATCTTCATGTTTCTGGTCAGGTTTCTTTCCGAACTCTTCAACAAACAGTTGCTTGAGCTTCAAACCAATTTTGGTGTATTGGTGCTTTTAGTATTCTGGATGTTCTGGCCCAAATTTCTTCGGTCTTCATCTTGGATTTGGTTGTATTGGAGACG